ATTGCTAATTATCAGGAAAATGCAAATTAAAACCACAATGTGATATCACCTCACAGTAGGTAGGATAACCAAGAAACAAAAAACAAGGGACAACAAATGCTGGCAAGGATGCAGAGAAAGGGGAACCCTCTTATACTATTGGTGGGAATGTAAATTAGTTCATCCATTCTGGAAAGCAATACGGAGGTTCCTCAAATAACTAAAATAGAAATACCATTTGACCCAGAAATTCCACCTCTAGGAATTTACCCAAAGAGAACAAGATCCCTGATTCAAAAAAACATATGCAACCTTATATTTATTGCAGCACTATTTACAATAGCCAAGATATGGAAGGAACCTAAGTGTCCATCAGTAGATGAATGTATAAAAAGTGGTACATATACACAATGGAATATTATTCAGCCATAAGAAGAAAACAAATCCTACCATTTGCCACAACATGTATAGAGCTAGAGGGTATTATGCTCAGTTAAATAAGCCAGGCGGAGAAAGACAAGTACCAAATGATTTCATTCATTTGTGGAGTATAACAACAAACCAAGACTGAAGGAACAAAACAGCAGCAGACTCACAGACTCCAAGAAGGTACTTGCGGTTACCAAAAGGGTTGGGGAGGGTGGGTGGGAAGTGGGAGAAGGGGTTAAGGGGCACTATAATTCAATCACAATAAAGGTAGGTCATGGGGAAGGCAGTACAGCACAGAGAAGATAAGTAATGACTCTATAGTATCTTACTACGCTGATGTGACAGTGACTGCAATGGGGTGTAGGGGGGACTTGACAATATGGGTGAATGTTGAAATCACAATGTTGCTCATATGAAACCTCCATAAGATTGTTTATCAGTGATACCTCAATAAAAAAAATTCATTCATTCAAAAAAAAACCCCACAGTGATTAGCCAAGCACAAAGAACTATGAGGTTCAGAACTGGACTTAGAATTCAGTTCTCTGAATCACAGCCTTCCTGTGCCTTAGACCATGTATCTTCTTTATTAAAGGAATTTTGTTGTGGACATTATGTTTTTGTTCATTTATATGGACAGAAAAAAAAACAGTGTGAGAACAAGCCAACATTCAGTCTTGTACAGAATTAGAAGAAGTAAAAAGGAGTAAGAGCTATACCACCCATTTCACTTAAGGTTGTAATTGTCACTTCTTGGTACTGCCAGATCTAATATTAAGCACTTTTTAAAAAGTTAAACACTTCATAGAACTGTTTCATAAAACAAATAATCTTTACTTGAGATTTTAAAAGAAAGAAAAGCTGAATATGTATGAAAGAAATGTATACATTTTCCCCGCTAGAGCTTCAAAATCTTGTAATTACTTCATTTTACTATTTAACTTAGTTGATATCTATGAACAGTTCAAAATGATAAACATTTTAAAACTTCCTAATTAATTTTGCTAACATTTTAAACAAAAAACAAACACACAGAAACCAATCAAACACCACTGTAAAAACAATTTAGAATTAGGAGTCAGAATATTTTATTCTGATCCCAGCTCATCCATTTAATCCTGTACCCACTACCTGCACCCTGCTTACCTGCACACCTGTTCCTATGTCTTCATAGAGCTCTGGTTTAGATAGATGCTAAATGTTACAAGCCATGCACTATTGCTACTATGACATTTTATTTCTCAAAAATGTAAACACACACATGCCCACTGTATTGGTTTCCTATGGCTGCTGTAAAAAGTAACCACAAATACACTCACTGGTATAAAACACAAATTCATTACTTTACAGTTCTGCGGGGAGTGTATATGTGTGTGTCTGTCAATCAGGCATTTTGGTTCAATCAGAAAGAATGCTCTATTCCAAGTGTGAGCTGAGATTATCAGAAGACATTTCATAGACTAAATAAGTCTTGAAAGACCAAGGACAGTGACGGTGTCTGGACAGACCAAGGGGTTTCAGAGGGGAATCCTGCCAAGAGGTGCAGTTGGGACAAAAGTGATGGCAGTGGGAAAAAACCACTGGAGGGAACAAGTCGTCTGGAAGTTAGGGCTTGCTGGTGGGAATACTGAAGCCACCTTCTAGTTTACTTTCTTTCAAAACAATTTTTATTGAGGTGAGATTCACTAAACATAAAACTAACCATTCTAAATCTAACAATTCGGTGTCATATAGTACATTCACAATGTTGTGCAATCATTACCTCGATGTAATTCCCGAAGATTTTCATTACCCCAAAGGCAATTCCATACCCATTAAGCACTTGCTCCCTCTTCCCTCTCCTCCTGGGCTTGTTAACCACCAATCTGGGACTGTCTCTATGGATTTAACTACTTCGGACAGTCCACACAAACGGACTACATACTGCCTTTCTTGCCTGGCCTCTTTCACTCAGCATGTGGTCTTAAGGATCACTCATATTATGGCCCATATCAGAACTTCATACCTTTTTGTGATGTTCCCCATATATGTATAACACAGCACATCCCTCATCCATGGATGAGTATTGAGCTGGTTTTACCATAGGCTATTGCAAATAGAACTGCGACAAACATTTGTGTTCAAGTCTTTTTGAACATCTGTTTTTAGTTCTTTGGGGTATGTATTTATCTAGGAGTGTTTAATGGGTCACGTGGTAACTGTGTTTCACTTGTTGAGCAACCATCAAACTGTTTCCCACAAGTGGCTGCACCATTTCATGTTCTCAGCAGCAACTCCGGGGGTTCTAATTTCTTCACATCTTTACCAACAGTTGTTATTTTCCATCTTGTTCGTTGTGGCCATCCTAGTAGGTGTGAAGTGTATCTCATTGTGGTTTTTATTTGCATTTCTCAAATGACTAATGATGAGCATTTTTCATGTGCTTATTGGCTATTTAAATTTTCTTTGGTGAAATGTCTATTTAAGACTTTGCCTGTTTTTTTCTAAAACTGGGTTGTTTTTCTTGTTATTATTGAGTTTTAAGAGTTCTTTATATATTCTGGATACTTGACTCTCAACAGTTACATGCTTTAGAAATATTCTCCCATTTTGTGGATTGTTTTCTCACTCTCTTGATGCACAAAGTTTTTATTTTTGATGAAGCCCAACTTTTTCTTTTGCTGTTCCCACTTTTGCTGCCATTTCTAAAAATCTAAAGTCATGAAGCTTTCCTCCTGCATTTTCTTCTAGGATGGTTTTAGCTCTTATATTTAGGTCATTGATCCATTCTGGGTTAACTTTTTCTAAGATGTGAGGTAAGGGTCCAACTTCATTCTCTTGCATGTGGTTATCCAGCTACCCCATTTGTGAAAGAGAATGTTTTTTCCCTTCTGAATAGTCTTGGCACCCCTTTTGAAAATCAACTGGCCAGAACATATGGGTTTATTTCTGGACTCAGTTTTTAAAATTCTTTAAAAATCAGAACTTTCTATCCCATAATTTCACCACTGCTTTTACCAGAGTTGGTTTAGCTTATAATGGCATACTAGGAACTTTAATTCCAAAACTAGAACTTTTTAAATAAAAAATACACATCCATAATGAATGACTTCATTATGAGACACTTCTATGTAAGATAAAGATGAGAAGTAGTATATGAAACCAAAACCAATCTCAGCAAAATGGTATGTTGTAAAGCAGCATGCCTGCCATTTTACTGTTATTTACCATGCGATCATGAAGTCATTCATTTTAATTGCCTACCCTTTATAAGGCCTGTCTTACAAATAATTATGAACTTCTAGTCAGCCTCTTAATGTGGTGATTACATTCAATGTCCTTGATACCAGTCTTGCCAAGGTACCTGTGTCCAAGTACCACCCAATTCCAAAAGAGATGGATTATAAATTGAAAGAATGCCTTATTATTTAGAAATTTTTATTAATATCAAAGTGTCCTAATTTAAGGCATCCTTTGATTTTAACACTTCTGTCAGCACCCTGGATTTGCTCTAATTTAGTGAGTTACTGTTCAGAAGTTAAGATCACCACTATTTTAGACACAAGCTGGGAATTCCTTCCAAACAGTCCCTTCTCCTACGTTGGTTTTTCTGGAAAGCTCTGAACCTCAATCTCCTCTTAGCTCCTGGGGCCTTCAACTACCTAGCCCGCAGAAAACAACTGACTTCCCTGATCACACATCGACAACAGAGGAACTGGGAAGGTTCTCCAAACTCAACATCTCTAACGAAAACATAAACTCTGCTACCAGAACATTCAAGAGTTCCTTTTGTCTTGAGTCTCCTCTGCCTACAAGCAGTAAACACTGGATGTTCAGTGTCACCATGGTTTCTGTTAGAGGCAAAGACAATCTTGTTTTTACTGACTGAAATAAGGAATAAAAGTTTTGTCCGGAAAACTAGGTGATAAAAAGACTGGGAAGTGCTGATAACTGTAGTCTGGAAAATGCATGAAAAACTACCTTTCGCCAGCCCGTGATCGTGGGAGCTGACTGCCTTACCATCAAGAGACTAAGGTTCAGGGTCAGACCAATGGTTCTGACGTTCTGGGCTGGACACATGGTTGAGGTGAGACACCAAGGGAGAGACGGCCAGCCTGACCCTCACACAGCAGCCCTTCCTGGCTAATCCTTGGGGTGATAACACCACTGTCTGGCCACACCCCACAAAGAGTAAGGCGCTGCAGTGAGGCCACCAAGAAAGAACTGGAGTAACTGGGAACAAGAGGGGAGGGGCGGGGTGGGGTGGCCAGGATAAAGAAATGAGTGAAACTCCAATGTTCTATTACAACTCACTGTCACACCTATCACTCTAAGATCACAATGACAGGGGAATGGAAAAGAAAATAAAAAGAAAAAAGAAACAAAGGAAAAAAACATGAAAAACTACCTACTTACACTTATGTAGCATTCTAAGAATTTGGGTTTGTGTCATACAATCTGACTACATAAACTAGAGCGACTGGTTGATTCAGTTTAGCTCATAAACCTATAGCTAGGAAGAGGATTTTTATCATCAGTGTTTCTAAATTCTGGCAACATAGTTTTATTACACCAAAAACTCAAACCACACTTGTGGAACAGACCATACTTACCAAACAATTCCCTGGGCTCCAGAGCCAATTGGTTTCAACTGCTGGTAACGTTTCAGGACAGTGAAAGTTGAGTCTGCCACTTGTACACTGTAAAACTGACTGTCACATTTGCTGTCACTCATGATGTAGTGTCATACAGTGTCCCGAAGAGCTGGTACCGTCGTCAGAGTCCTTAGGAGATGAACAGAATGGACACGCATTCTTACTGAAATAACACACACACAGCTTACCTAACAGCGCCTCAAGTTTATTGCTAGGTAAGACAGATGGCTGTTAAGCTGACACACTCAGTTTGATCAAGTCCTGAACTTGGTCATCATGCAGAACATGCAAAGATATTTGAGTGGTGCGAGGCTATTAGGAAAGGAGCACAGTGAGGCCCTGCACGACCACACTTTTAGGGACTGGATTAGAAAACAACCACCTCTGGAGAAAAGAACTCACACATTGTCACTAGACATGACAGGACTATGGCACTGTGTGCTTCCTGGGGGGCTGGCCCCCGCCCGGCTGACTAGGCCAGAGATGGAGGCACTCGAGGTGCTTCAAAATGATCTTGTCTACAATTCCTACAGAAAACAAATGGACCAGTCTTCTACTAAATGCACAAACCCAGGTTACAGTGATGAGCCAGAAGGCAAGTCCTAGGCCAACGTAATTATAAAAGAGGACGGTGAAGAACAACAGGGTGTCAGGCCTGGTGATGCGGGCATGTGCCGAGCGCATCCTGGGACTTGTGAGAGCGGTCCCAGACAGCTGCAGAGAGAAGTGCCATGGATTCATGATGGGAGGGCAGCTGGCTGCCTGGGAGTGGCCTCGTGGTGGTTTATGTGGCAGCCTGAGATTCCTGCTCTGAAGAGCCCACATGCTTTTATACAGAAAACAAGCACAGATATCGGTAGGCAGCTACATTTACCTGCTTTCCTGGCTTTTGTCTGACAAATGTTTATTTGACAGTCAGTAAGCTATTTATTTTGGCCTTTGGTTTTAATTAAAAAGCCAATAATAAAATTGTAGAGGTAAATATTCTATATGGTTTAAAAATACAGAACTTAAATTTTACTCTGCAGCTCCAGGAAATTCCTGCCTGTGTTTTACCATCTAATATTTAATGTCTACCCATTCAGTCTTTTAAAAAAAGAGTGATGATTTGTATTTTAATGCAGTGATATTTAGGACTTTCCATTAAATATGGAAATAAGCTAATTATTAACAAACCTAAACAAAGAATCTAAATCAAATGAATGGTTTCTCCACCTGACCATTGCTTCATGATTTTTTACCATGCTCAGGGCAGTGGCTAAGGCACAGCTGTTGGAACCACGGGCCATGCTGCCTAAGAACCACTACACACCGGCTCGGGGGTGCCTCCAGGAGGCCGGCACTGCTCATGACAACTCACAGTGGAATCAGCAGTCCCATGTTACACTCTGAGCTGAATGGCCGGGACAAGCCAAGCTGCTCTAAGGAGGGAGCCCTAAGCTCCAGAAGGCCAGGATAGGATTCTCGCTCCTGGTGGCATCCCAGACACCCAGCATGGGAGGCCGGTGGGCGTTTAGTAAACCTTGCTGAGCTGACCCACAATGCAGCATGCTGCTCGATTGTACTGACATCTGATGGAATATCGTCTTCTATAAAGATGAGTATTTTATAGTTTTTATGGGGTTGGGATAATGCAACTCAATATTCACAAGGTGCCTTGTACAAGAAAGTGGTAAGTAATGCAGGTGAGTATGGGTGAGATTTGCTGGGCGCCAACTCAAAGCAGCCTGTAAGCCACCAGCTGGGCAAGCAGCACTCGTTTTGGGGAATGAGTCCTTCACCTCCACTGCATGGCACCATTGGTGAGGGCAGAGGTAAAAGGTAAACAAAGTCAAAAGGCAAAAGAGATGTTACCACTGGCGGGTGAGCAGAAGGCAAGGAGAGCTTCCCAGAGAAGGCGGCAGCTGCCCTGGACAGCATTGCCAGAGGCAGGTGGTAGAGGCACAGAACTCGAGCTGACTGCCTTCAGCTCAGCTTAGCTCAGGGTGCAAGCAGAGGATCAGACACCGACCTGGGGAAAAGGCAGGTAGCCGCTATAAGCTGCTGTTTCTTTGCCACATTGTTACACACCCACAAGGCTGGTGGCTCACAGGACTCCCCGGGCCACTGGGGGGGAGGCCTGTGCCTGGGCAGTCACCCTGCCTGCACTCGGCAAGCTCAGACACTGTGGCACCCTCAGGAAGACCGACGCAGGGAGAGCCCAAAACCTTAGGGATGGGAAGGCTGTGGGTGTGGGGAGGGGAAGGAGCGGGTGTGGACTGGCAGAGGTGCTTTCTGGGAGGACAGGTCATTTGTGATTTAGTTTTGCCTGGCAGTGGGGGAAACGAGCTGGAGAGAGAAAACGAGGTCAAATCACCCCAGGCCCATCTGGGCTCAGACCTGGACCACAGTGCAATAAAAGCAGGAGAGGCACATGCTTTGACTTGCTTTTCAGAGATGTCATTCTGGGAGTTGAGGAAGGGATGGATTCCAGTGGGTCGGATCAGGACAGGGAGCCCTGGCAAAACAGCAGGACCGTGGCAGGTAGGGGAGGAAGGAAATGAGTGGCTTGGAGGAAGAATGTCCGTGATGGCTGCCCTGGGGAGTGTGACCAGGAATGAGGGTGGTGCAGCAGGAGGTGAGCAGGAAAGCGCGGAGTCTGTGGGTTCAGGACAGGAAGGTCTGAAGTGCCTAAGGGACAAGCCGCACGACAGGCACCAGCTCTGACGAGCTCCACCACCATCCCTTCTTTGTTTCAGTTACAGAAACCTCCCTGTTCTAGCTGGACAGACAGCTGCCCATCCAGAGACAAAACTGGGCAGCTTTCCTGGCAGCCAGGTGTGGCCAGATGACCGATTTTTGGCTAACAGGATGTGATGATAATTTTTCTTCCGTAAAGCTGCTTGCTGTCTAATCTGTCTTTCCCCCTTGCTGCTGGCCAGGGTTGGGCTGTGGCGGACCCTGGTGGAAGTCACATGATGACGGCAGCAGAGCCACCCAGCCACTCACAGGAGTCCTGAGGGCCCTTGGACACACAGCCGCCCCCTGCTGGTCCACCTGCCCACACTGAGCCAGGCACAAATTAACCTCAACCTTGTTGAGCAACTCTGGAATCTGCTACAGCTGTCAGAACCTGTACACTGGCTGATACAATATGAGGTTAGCTTTTGTGGGTTTGGGGAATACACTACATCACTAGGTTTGAGATATGAATATAATTTCAAATCAAGATTTAAAATAATTTGAAAATTACAGTAAGTTGCTCTTTTTTCTGCTCTAGGCAGATAAAAACAAGAGAGACCCTGTCAATGCCACCACTGAGGGCACCATCTGCCTTCACTTCCCTTACCTGGGCTCCAGGGGGACCAGAGCCGCCCCTGCCCCCTGTGCAGTGCCCACGGGGCTCCCTGGCTCAGCTTCCCCCAGGCTCCCCACCTCCCTCCCCCAGCGGAGAGCTCTGGTCTTCCCTCTCAGACAGCACCACTGGGGAACTTAAAGGAATGTGCAATGCCCACCTACTGGAGAGCCCCTGGAAAAAGCCCCCAGGGGTCACTCTCTGCTCCTTGGGCTCATCAGCCCTGAGGGCAGTGAGCTGACGCCTTGAGGAAGGAGCAGCACGCCTTGGCTGAAGGTGTCTGGCTCCCTTCCTTGGGGTCCCTGCCCTTCCCACTTACCGTGCTGTTTCTGTGAATGCCCATTGAAGGAAATGCTCTAATCTGAAAGCTGCCTTATTGTAGAATCCCCTCCAGGATGCTGGAGTAAAATCTACCCACTCTATAAACAAACACTGGGCAGAAGGAGCACTCCTACCTGCTGGGAGCCTAGAGTAAGACATGCTTCTTAAAAAAAAGTCTCTAACTCTAGTATTTTTCTAAATATAAGCAATTCAGGTTCTGTGAATATATTAAATCTCTGATTAAGTTTTCTTAATAAAAAAAATAGCTCTAACTTCAGCTTTAAATAGTTATATTTTAAAATGGGAAAGTACAGTGGAGATGCCAACCACCATTTGCTGATTTCTCCCAGCATTTCCTGAAGGCCTCCTGTGCCCAAGTAGGAGGTAGGGGCTGCCCGGAGAGCACTACCCAGACAGTCCCTTCCCTCAAGCCACCAAGAGCATGATTATCACACTGCCTAGGAAGCATTCTGCGGGGGGTACACAGCAACCAGGCACGAGCCCAGCAGAATGAGTGGGGGTAGTGTGTGCGAGGGAGAGGTGGCTATGCAGGGAGGCTTCCTGGAGGAGGCAACACCTCAGAGCAAGTTTGTTCACAGTATCAGCCCAGATGTGAGGAAACAGGTAGCAGTGAGAACTCTTAAGTTGATAGAATATAGGTAAGGAAAATAGGTAATATCTAATGGAAATTTTAAATGCATATGACTCCTAACCTGGCAACTACAATTCTATAAACACATCTGACAAATACATGTGGACCGATATCCAAAGATATTTGTGCAAGGATGTTCGTAGCACTTCTTGCAAAAAACTAGAAGTAATGTAAAATGTATACTTGGATGACTGAATAAATTATGGCATAAAAGTAAAACAAAGCCATTAGAAACAATGCAGGGACTTTATGTACTGATATAGAAAGATGTCTAAAAATATAAAGGAAATAAAGCAAGTTAAAGAGGAGTGCACATAGTAAATGTCAAACTGTGGAGACACACCCACACACACAGAGCATGTCAGCAAGTGCAGAGCACCGGGAAACGGCACTCTCACTCTTTTCTCATTATAATGTCCTGGGTTTTCTTTAGCCATGTACATATTTCACATTTTTTAAAAAACTAAGCAAATGCTTTTAAAGAAAAGCTACGGAATGGTCACTCTAAAACCTGTACAGAAGATGGCCTTGTGGCAGATGACGCTGGAGGCGGAAAGCTCCTTGGTTGCAAGGGCTCTGGCAGCCTGCGGGGGGCGCCTTGCTACGCCCACTTTGCAGCCCAGAAGGCTGCTCCTGGGGAGGTGCCCAGACTCCCAACTGGAAAGCGGTGTGACCCAGAATTCAATGCTGGTGCGTTTGAGTACAGTATTCATACTCTTCCCAATGCATCAGTCTTATATCTCTAATTTTTTTTTTTTGGAAAGTAAAGTGATACATCCAAGGCTGAGTCAGGACCACGGCCAGAAAAACACAGACCTTCAC